AATGATTTTTGCTGCCCATTTAAACACGGAAGCCGGACTTTGGTTTCAATTTTTAAGACACAATTTAATTCCTACTGGGCATGATAGTACTGTTTCGAGGGACCGATGCATCCTTCTCTATTGCATTATGAGTGAGTTGCCGATCGACCTTGGGCCGATCATCCATGCATCCATTTTGGCCGCCTCACAGTGGACGAATTGTCGCCTGGTCTGTCCAGCCCTCATCACCAAGCTCTTGGCTAAGGCTAAGGTCCCTACCTTTGACGATGATACTATTGTTGTCGGCTCTCCCTTGTTGGGACAGAACACACTCGACCGACGGAATAGAGCATCTCGGCCCCATTTTTATATACAGAATGAAGAACCTGCCTCGATTGCTGCGGACGAGCTTGTGGTGTCGTCAACTGTTCCACCAACTATGCCACATGTTGTTGCTGTCACTGAGCCATCCACCGCTGCTGTCACCGCGTCACCGATTGTCATTACCGAACCACCAGTCGCTGCTGTTTCTGTGCCGCCCGCTGTTGTCACCATGCAACTTGCCGAGCATGTTTCTGCCCCACCTGCTGTCCCTATGGCCGAACCGACTGCTGAACTCCCACGATGCGGAGTTGATACGGCCAGCCCCTCCGATCCACCGCCGAGCAACCCTTTAGGCTCGGGGTACGGGTCAGCRACTTGGCTATCTGTTTTGGCACTACAGTGGGAGGAAACGAATCTGAAGTTGACGGAGATCTTGAAGAAGGTTGGCAGCCTTGATGACCGAGTCTCTGATCTCAAAAAGAAGAGTGCACGATATTGGGCTTACACTAGAGACTGGAATTGGGTGGAACGACAACTCTATGGGCGTTAAGATACTCTCTTGACAGCCCAACTTCCCCGATTCCCCAGTGGTCTTTGCCCGCCTCAGGTCTGGTGCTTCCCACCTTTGCAAGCCCATGTGCCAACGTCTGTTGTTGCTGCACCCTTTGCTCCGGTTGCCCACATTCCTGTTGTTGCTCCATTGCCTATCACCACTGCCATTGTTTCTGCCGTTGCTGTTTCAGTTACTGCTTCCATTGTCCAAAGCTCCGACGCACCAGGTGCATCCACTGTTTGCCCACAGTGAGCAGTTTCACAGATATGGTTAAATTCTCAACTTTTAATCCCACCTCTTTAAACATTATTTTTGGATATAACTCTTGGGTACAGATACATTTTCATTCCGTCTTTTGTGTATGCTTTGCGGAATGCTATTTTCTTTTGTGTGATTATTTATGATATGGGTGTTGGATTTCCTTTTGCTTTGTCTAGTTCCATTGTTCATTTCAGGTACAATTTGCTTGGATGATTTTTGGTAGTGYTAAAGTTAAAAGGATGTAGGCCCTCCTTTTGTTTTTAAACCCAAACACTATTCCCCTTGCACCCAACCCGTAACCTTTTGGTCCCTTTGGCAACAATGGGGACATTGTTATTATCAAGTTTGGGGGGATGTGTCCAAAAAGAAAAAAATATATACCTTCGAAAAATTGGGAGGTATGAAAAAGAAAAAAAAGAGAAAAAGAAGAAAACAAAACAAAAAAATAAAATAATCAGTCTTCGGAAAATTGGGAGACGAAAATAAAAAGCCCGGTACTCCAAAGGGCAAGTTTATGCCAATAAATGGGTCACGAACTTTTTCCTTGTACTCAAAAGTGAATCGATGAGAACTTTTGTTTCAAACCCTTTTGTAGTATATAGGATAAGTTTGGGGGAGGGATACACACTATCATTGCCAAAAACACTAACCCAAAAGCCCTACTGATTAACGGCAACACTACGAAGATCAAGCAAGGAARTTGTACATCCTCTTTACTAGACGAATTTCCAACACCTTCCGTAAGTGTTTCGTTCTTGTTCCTTTCTTTTTGTGTCTTTTTAAATTATTTTCTTTTACTTGAGGACAAGTAATACCTCAAGTTTGGGGGTGTGATAACTCTCATTTTGTTAGAGTTATTTGTTGTTCTATACCCCTATTTTATTGTATCTTTGGTACCCATTTTGCTCATATTCTATATTTTTGGTCCAAATTATGTTAAGAGGTGATGAAAGGTTAAGAATTTAATTATTGTCTAAAAAACTCTTTATTGTTGGTAAATTTGGCATCTAGTTGGATTTGAACAAAATTATGATATTCATATTCTTGGGTGTTATTGAGATTTAATGCTAAGTTCAAATCTAATTACTTGGTTGCATGGAAGATTGAACCTAGTTATGGGATGATGAAACTTTGATAAGTTCATTTTGTACCATGATGTAATGGCTTTTCCATCACATTTATTGGTTGTACCTTCACCTTTTGCAACCTATCAAAAGGAGGTGACTTGATCAAGATTGAAGAAGACATGTGGTGATGGGWGGTYATTACCCATTGGACAAAGAGTTTGGGTCCCACCTTTCCCCCTATATATTTGAAGRCATCTCCAATCCATCTCAACACCAACTTTTCCACCAGCACCTTGGAGCATCTTCTTTAAAGCTTTGTAGTAGCAGAACTAGTTTATATTCAGTTTGTAATTTAAATTTCGTAATTTAGCTGTTATTCTCGCCACTGCATTGTGTGCCCTCTGTGGGCACCAGTAAGTATTTAATTTCAGTTCAAGTATTTCTTATGCAGCTTTCTTCTCCTATTTCTGTTATGTTTTCCAATTTCATTATGAGCTAAGCACCCCCTTGGGTGTGGGTGTGAGTCAAGCTTAAGGATTTAAGGGCACACTTGGGTGTTGCCATTTTTATTGATTCTTAAGCTTGGTCATTTAAGTCGGGACGTAAACTCAACGCGGATAAGCTGATCACTTTAAAGTGTTAATATTAGATCCTTGATCCAGAGATGGGCGGATCTGAAATACGACTTAGATGATGCACAAAGGTTCGAGAGAGTCTTTGATAATCACGCAGAGATGCGAGTTTTGCATGTTTTTAGCTTTTGTTCAGATATTAGTCGAGTTTATGCTACAATACGTTGTGATTATAAATCTTCAGACTAGTGGAGCCAGATATCTTTTTATCTAGTAGCTAAATCGGCAAGTTTAAGATTGATAATTTTGGACGCTTTGTGGGCACTCTGTGGGCACAGTATATAAGAATTCACTTTCGAGAGAAATGAGTTCTTATAGAAATCCCATGGGTTTCTAACCAAGTCGTTCCTGCTTTATTCTTAAGCAAAGCTTACACCCATACCCATATTTTAATATTAAAGGTTTATTTCGTTTTTTTACGCTTTGCACCAATCAAAACTCAAATATTTTCTCAACCCGAAACATTGTTCAAGAAGTTCATGAAAGTCTCTGATTCTCAGTAAGTCCGGTCCCTGTGGAAACGATCTTGGTACTATACCACTTTATTACTTGAAGCGATCTTAGTGTCGGCGTGCACTTGCACYRYNACTTTGGGGATTTTATGCCCACTGTGTGCACACTTATGATTTTAGCACATCAGGCACCAACCAATTACATAAAATGAGTAAGATCTACCACAGATGGACATCAGTGGCACTCATTTTGGACTTGGTGTCAACCGGTTTGGCAACGGTTTTACCATCCGTCATATTAGCTCATGCCAAGATCTCTGCGACATATTTCTTCCAACTAAGAAATAGTCGTTCATTTTTGCATAGGACAGAGATGACAAAAAAATAAGTGAAAGGACCAAGATCCATCATGGAAAATTAAGATCCCAACAGGGAGATGATGCGGCTTCGTAAAATGTCACTAGAAGTGGACAACATAATGTCATCAATGTGTGATAAGAGGTAATACATGTCAAGACCGTGTTTGTAGATGAAAG